GGGGCAGGGCCACCGGTCAGGGATGGGGCCTGGATGGATGGAGCAAGGGAGGCAGATATGGGGCCTGGAAGGAGCGAGGGAGGCAGGCTGCCCTGAAGCAGCTCTGCGCTCCCTTCTGGTGCCCCATGCCCCGCCCCTGGATTGCGTCATTCGCCACCCCAACCAATGAGGTAGAGCTGCGCTCCTGTTGGCCCTCAGACTTTTCCTGCAGATTTAGGCGCCCTCGGTACCATGCACCTTGCGTCCCCTGGCGGGCTCCCAGTGGCCGGTGGCTGGGCGCCCAGAAGTGAGTCTGGACCGAAACCTTATTCCCGCTCCGGTTTGACAGCTCAGGAAACAGGCACCGCCAGGAAGCCTCAGCGCTGGAGCCATGGCGCCAGGCCTTGAGGTGATTGCAGACTGATTTCTGCAGATGTGGGAGGTGGCTGGCCTGCATTCCAGACTCAACCCCCACAACCTGGGTGACTGTCCCCAAACTCCTCGCCCTCTCTGGGCAGCGAGTTTTCAGCAGCATATGAGGGACGTGGCCGTCAGCGCCCCCAGATCCCTTTCTACGCTGATTGCTGCACCCCAAGCACGGACCCACCAGCAACTGCCTAGCTCTGGGGGGGAGGGAAGAACCGCGGGAACAGCGGGTTCCAGGCGGTGTGGCACTGTCTTCTCAAGTCTCCTGACCAAGATCCTTGAGCAGGAAGTGTGAGCCCACAGTCTGACACGGAGACTGAACCCTGGAAAGACCAAGGAAGTGCCCAGCACCTTACAGACTGAGACAACAGGTGCAACACTAAGTGCCTCCAGGAATTCATCCACGTGTGCCCAGGGCAACGCAGAACAGGGGCGAGCTCAGTGCTGTGTGTGTGTGTGTCTGTCGTGGGCGGGGAGGGGGGCAGGCAGAGAGCACCCCTCCTCCCTTGCTAGGGGAGCAGATGAGTGAAACCTGACCGGCAAACAGCATTAGAATGAGGCTTGTTTGAGGACTTACAGAAAAATTGGAAAGCACTCCCCAACGATATGGAAAAACCAATCACTAATTTTATGTGGAAAGGAGAGACCTTGGATAAGCAAAGCACTATGGAAGAAGAACAAAATAGGAGGTCTCACACTCCCCAATCTCAAAACCTACTATACAGCCACAGTGGTCAAAACAGCCTGGTATTGGTACAAGGACAGACACATAGAACAGTGGAAGAGAATTGAGAACCCAGAAATAGATCCATAGACCTATGGTGTGTTAGGCTGTGTCCTCT